AGCCAAGTGGTTATCAGAAGAGATTGGAGAGTGGTGGCTGGGGGAAGGGATGCTGAGCAATGGTCTGCTACTCTCATAGGAGGATGCTCCACTGGTCAATAGCAATTAGAAATGGGGATCATATGGGTAATAAAGGAGTCATTGGGGGGGTGACCACACCCCATGTTTTTTGCACCACTGCTGCCTACCCAACTTTTTTACCCACCTCCAGCTTTGACCATACAATGGCTGTGTCACTAATGCCATTCTTCTCCAGATTGTTCAATATGTCCTTTCCTTGCAGGTTCTGAAATTCTCAGAGGAAATTTTGGAAATGCTTCAGTTCATGTTGGAAGTTTTTGGTGGTCATCCACCCAGATGGATGGGCCAGGCTCAAAGATCCTTTGGGGGCATTGCAAAGCATGAGCCTCCTGGGAAAACAATAACAGGAAGAAGACCCATCAGCCCAAACAATCTGAAATAACCTTTCCAACTTGGTGTGCTCCATTTTTCAAAATCACCTTTGGAATGTCAGGAACTGTAGTGGTATATAACTCATCCAAGTCATGAATTTGGTGAGCTTGGAGCCCATGCAACTGAGAAAGAAACAAGTATGCTACAGCATCATTTTTGATGGAGCACCATAGACTGCACATTGCTTGTGGTCCAAGATGCCCACTCTGATTTTGTTACAATCCATGCATGGCAAGAAAACAAAAGATCATAGCAGAATGTGCACCACGTCAAGAGTTAGCCCAATAATAAGGCTACAACAAAGCCTTGTAAAAAAAAACAAGTATTTTCAAAAAGTTAGTTTAGTTCAAGATCTATGTGAGTTTCAAAATGGAAGTACGTTGTCAGTTGACTGAGTTTCCCCCATCATGTAAATTTTTAATCTTTTAACTCCAGAAATGCCAGAAGCAGCATGGCAGCATACCAACACCAATGTTATTGATGGTTGGCAGTTACAGGGTTAATTTTTAACTGCGGCATTTTTCAATCACATATGCATGTAACAAAGAATTGAGTGATGAGAAAGCAGGATTTTCTTCAGTTCATCATTGCTTTACAGAACTTGACAAATGATCTGCTGCAAAAGCCAACTTATCATGTCATATAAGGGGGTGGGCATTTCTGATGTGTCCATATGTTGCTGGTGGGATTGTTAATGAAATACAAAATAAGAGAAAATATATTAGGAAGCTGGCTTAAGTTATAACTTAAATTTTTTTCCCTGAACTTCCCAGTCAAGAGGAAGTTTCTTGAAGGTGACTCCTCCCCTAAGTATTGATCTCATGTTTCAGGTCCCACTGTTGACTCATCAATGGTGAATTGGATTGTAGAATCTAACTCACTGTCAGTATCACCTGTAATTTGGTACTTTTTCAGAATACTCAACTAAAAGAAATGGAAGCCATCAATGAAGGTCTTTTTACTTACTTTCATCTTCACAAAGTACTTGGAGTGCTTCAATTGCATTTTGAAGGAAAAGGTCCTGGAGGGTTCATTATTTTTTTCTCATCATATGCAATACAATGATCAGCTGGAAAACATCCAAAAGATGTTCATTTCACATATTCACAGCTCTCAAGTGAGACCTAATCAAGGAACCAAGAAAAAATTGCAAAATTGTGGAATGGGATAATAGAGGTGACTTATTTAATGTGCTCCCAAAGGAAACCATATCCCCTATGTATCTCTGGGACAATATGAAATGATTCCCTTCAAGAACCTCTGAGTGCTCCACATCAGTGCCAGCTCATGATTTTCACTCTAAACATAGTTCCACATACTGTTATACACAGAATTACAATAGGAGTGTCTGAGTGATTTTTCCTTCATCAATGAAAAAAAAACATTGGTATCCTCACTTACCTTTTCACTCCATAAACATATTATTTTGACGGAAAGCCAGGAGACACCAAAGCCTCATTCATGAAAGAAATCAGCACATATGTCTGTGTAGGCACATTTGTGTATGCCTCTGTCATACCAATTTGGGTCTTTTTCCAGTTGCAGCAGAAGGTCCCCTTAAATTGAAACAAGTGTGGTCATGCTGCTGAAACACAATGAGACAGGAGCATCTGTCTGGCTAGGCAATGATAGCAAACAGTAAAAGCTTAGTTCTGCACTGGTTGGAGACATTGGGATTGCTGCAATGAGGTTCACAATTTTGTAAACTTCTGGCAGGCACCAAGTCAGCTGCTCAGTTATGAGATATGAGAGTAGTTCAAAGAAGGATCTCAAATATGGATGGGTATGTCCCCTGCAGATATACAAAATAAGCATCAGGGAAGTTCTTCATATAGTCCTTGAAGTGTTGACCATGGCAATGAACTTTATTCCGTCCAAGTCCAGGAGTTGCAACTCAAACTGGGTGACAATCCCGCCTAAGACATCAAAATGTAAGCATCTGTACTGAGTTTCTAATGCATTAGATTGACTGTTGAGATGTGTTTATGGTCCACTGACAGACCTAGTCCAACAACCTCCATAGCATTACAAATTAAATGGACCAGAAAGAGTTAAGCAACTGGGAACTTATCAGGATCACCAATGCAATGGGCTTCATCACATACCTTCTGGAAATTGAGTCACACCTGAGGTGTGACCTTCTTTGAGTGTGCATCTCAGTAGAGGATTCTTGCATATCTTCAGCGTCTCAAAGAAAGAGAGTCAGTTTCATTGGAACCTTTAGGAGTTTTGCATTTTCAGTACATTTGCTATGTAGTTTTTGGTTGATTGCTTAATGCATAGGCCAGTAAATAAATATAATATTCTCTTATTAGTACCAGCTCTAGCCCCTTTACCTCAGTCAGAATTTTTCTGAAATGTATGGACAAAGTGAAATCTCTTTTTTTTTTAAATCCATGTTGCCCTTTGTGGTCAATATTAGATATGAGCTCAATTCAGAGAACAATCACTTATGCTCCCATGCATATAAATCCAAGTTTATCCACATCAGCACACAGAATGACCCCATTGGACTTGGACCTTCAATGTCAATATTGAAGATAGGTTCACACCTATGAGCAATCACACGTCTGAGCTGCAGTTCTGCCAAGTTTGATCCTTTTACCACATTTTTCTCCTGTCATGTGGGCTTTTCTGCTGGACTGTTGCACTGGGTGCAGCACAACCCTACACTGTGGAGTGGCATCTTTCTGTGCTTGGCTCAACTTCATTCTTGCCTTAAAGGGAATTCTGAATATGAGACTTCTGGGGTCTTTATGTTTGATGCCAAATATTGGTAGAAAAGGATGACACAGAGTGGAGGAAGATACGGATTTCAAGAAGCAGTTGAGCCCTTGAGGTTGAAGGTGCAAACCAACCACACAAAAATCCTCTCATAGACCTGGAACTCTGACTACCCATACCTTTGGCCATCTAAAGATTCAGTCTACTTATGTGAATTTTTCCAAGATTTCATTTTGGGGCATAAGATGCAATTAAAAGTCTTGGGTGCATTCAATCTGATTGCCTTGATTCAGTCTCTCAATTCCCTTTTTGAGTGAAACAAAGGGAAGGTGGAATAAAGTAGATTAGTTAGTCTGGTAGAGGAGTGATCAGGTCCACTTCACAAGATAGGGGTGGAGAAGTCGTTTTTCACACCTTGCGCCTTGAAACTACTTCTGAACTTCTCCATTTGGAGTTTTGGAAATGTGGGCATAGATTCATGAGAGGCTGATGCTGCAAAACTGTTGAGTGGGTGGTTTTAGTCAAGGGAGAGACAAAAGAGGATATTTTCTGACATCAAGGCACATTTCCGAGATGCGTCTTTTTGTAGCCTCCAAATTTCATCCAGAAATGTGTGCCACTCTCCAGAGAAGTCTTTTGAGAAGTCTGACATCACTTTCTGCCTGGAAGCCATAGTATACTGGAAGAGCATACAGAAAAAGGGGGACAATACCAGGTGATGTGAGTGGATCTAGAGATTCTCTGCAAAGAAACAGCCACAGCATCTTTCTTGAAGCGCTGGAGACTGGTTGTGGAAGTTTAGCTCATCATCAATGACAATGGTGAGGTGTTTAATTTCACCCTGTGATGATGGTGCCATTTATGGAGACTAGGTCTAAGAGAGTTTTCTATAGTCTTTCTGTTGTGAAAGACTATCTCTTTGGACTTATCTGCTTTTTCAGATGAGATCATTTGCTTCAGATAGAGAAGACACCTGTCTTCTCTAAAAATATTAAGACCTTTTATTTCATGTTAGAGATGCAGTTCTCAGTTCTCTCATGCAGAGTCTCCATGAAAAAACTAAAAGGTCACTTGGGCAGGTTCTCATTAATCTGGACAAAATCACCAGTCCCTTGAGTCCAGATTAACGAGAGTTTGACTGTACAGTGTTTGGAGTGACAAAATTATGCTTATTCTTACAGTCTGGTCTGTCAAAAAAAAAAAAAACCCTGGCAGCACAGGCCATGCCTTAATAAACACACCTGTGAATGGGTTAACGACTGAAATATAAGGAACATTAACATGACTTTTTTTAAGTTTCAGCATGGCATTTCAATAGTTTGTTGACAAAGTTTCACCATCAATTTTTAATTCCCATATCTTTTCTTCTCATATACTTCTAGCATGTAAAAAATGACTAGAAATCATTGAGTTTTTATCACTTCATTTAAATAGCAAAGGGGAAATAAAATATTCAGAGTAGTTTATGCTGAGTTTGTAGAGTTTTGCTCCTGTGGCATATCACTTGCAGACATATTCAGAGTAGTTTATGCTGAGTTTGTAGAGTTTTGCTCCTGTGGCATATCACTTGCAGACATATTCAGAGTAGTTTATGCTGAGTTTGTAGAGTTTTGCTCCTGTGGCATATCACTTGCAGACATACTCAGAGTAGTTTATGCTGAGTTTGTAGAGTTTTGCTCCTGTGGCATATCACTTGCAGACATACTCAGAGTAGTTTATGCTGAGTTTTGCTCCTGTGGCATATCACTTGCAGACATACTCAGAGTAGTTTATGCTGAGTATTGCTCCTGTGGCATATCACTTGCAGACATATTCAGAGTAGTTTATGCCGAGTTGGTAGAGTTTTGCTCCTGTGGCAGATCACTTGCAGACAATCTGGAAGGATCAATGACAAATGTCACATGAGAGTACACTGATCCTGTTTGGTCCATGGTGAGGGTAGATCCATTCTGTCCCAAATTTTTAAGCATGAAAGCAATTAGCACTTCATGCTCTCGCTGTCTCCACTCATGTTCTTCTTGTGTGTACTTCATCCGGAGATCATGCTCCTCTTTCATGTACTTCATCCGGAGATCATGCTCCTCTTTGAGCTGCTTAATTTTAATGTCTTGAAGTTCTTCACATTCCAACACCTCAGTGTTTTGAACATCTGTAATTCAAACAATTTTTCAGAAGACTCAAGTAAAAAGAAGAGAAAACTATTAATGAAGTTCTTGACTTACAGTCATGTTGTACTTGAAGCACCTGGGGCGAAAGAGTCATGCTTAGGGGTGGAGATGAATCTAGGAGGGAAGGGCTCATGACAGTCCAGCAATTTTTTTCTTGACAAAAATTGATCCCTGTTCCAACTGGAAAAAAAATGACTGTCATAACCAACAATGTCCAACTTCCTACACCAGGTTCCATTTTCAAAGTCGCCAATTGTAGAATGGAGGAATAGGGCTGAAGCAATAGGCAGAGCAGCACCTATTCCATTCCATCAACCCTTTTCTGTTACAAAAATTTACCATCTTTTATTAGGAGCATTGCAGGAATTAAATTGGGCACATTTCTTACCCTCTTAACATAGGACCACTGAAGCAGATTTAGAGTTCTATCTCCCTGGGATGTAGAGAAAGCAGGACCTCATTTTTTGCAGGTGGGATTCATACTGATTTTTTTGAGAAAATGCTTGTTTTTTATTAATTGTAAAAGAAACTAACAATTTAATTTAGTTTAAGTTAAACAACTTTGTGTATTTACATAACTTTACAAGGATAATGGGGGAAGTTCTTCCCCCATAAGTGAAACGTAAGTGCCACATAGGAGACTTGTATTCTAGTATTCTGCAATACCTAGTCCACCAGAGGCCTGAAGGCAGCCACAGAACGTGAAGTTATTCCATTTTCCTGCAGCAGTTGTGCAAAATGGCACCACACCCCTACAACTGATGATTGCACATGAAGGACACATTGAACTTTTTTTTCATGGAGTATAATTTTCCCGTGTTTATGGATTCTTGATGCAAAACTTCAGGCATCTAACTCTATTTGTTCCTAGATGATTATTTATAATGGTCCCATGAATAAAAAATCACCCTGTACAAGAAACATTGTCAACAATAATGTGGTACATATGCACTTTTATGGGCACTGACAAGGCAGCTTTACATTACAGCCATAGTACCCAAAGGATGCTATGGTAAGAGCAACTGGGGTTTTACCTCGGACTAGGTCAGGACGAACAGGGTCATTTTCCTGATATTTCTCTTCAAACTCCATCTCAGAATCCATAATCACAAATATGGCAAATTTTCTTCTTGGGCTGTGCCAACTGGTTTTCAAGCCAGTTGAGGAGACTTTTTACACAAGCCAAATGCCTGGAGCAAAGAAGTGTTGGGTGGATGACTTTAAATTATATAGTGCTACATGGTATTGAGCATTCAGTACTAGAGTTTTTTCACTTGACTTAGTCCCTTGTGCATGTGATGTAACTCATGCTTGGGATCCTGAACCAAGTGAAAAAAGGTTGTAAACTTGGAATTGTACTTTAAAGGGGAATTGGATTTTCTAGGCCTAGTTGCAGTCAAGTGCATAGCCACGAGTACTCCCCCTGCCTCACTTTGTGGAGTTGAATTAGTTATGAATTATTTCCTGCGGGCCTTGGAGAGTGGGAATGCCGAACTAAATCGGATGATTCCCAACCTCCAGACATTCCTTGTGAGCTGATCGGAAGGAAACAGGGAATCCCCGATCGAAGGAGTTGGTAAACCCACGAGTATGGCAATTTCTTCATGGAACAAATAATTTAGGATGACGATCTTCATACACTTCAAACTTCGAAGTCAACTGGATAGAGTGTGATTACAGGCACCGCCTGGATGCCTCCATACTGTTTTACCAGTGTGCACTTGGGATACCTACTGCGCAACTACGTTCATTTGCGTAACACCACCTACCCCTCCCAACTGGGAGTGAATAGTATTTTTTCGCTAACCTAGGGGTCGCTCCACGTGATATGACGACCCTTGTCAGTTTCCGAGATAAGTCCAATTGACATTGGGCGGAGGGCGGCAGTCAAAAGCACCTCTTCCCTAATTACTCAAGCTAAAAGATAGTTAATGGCTCATTTGAAAGCGCTAAATTAGGCACTCCCCAATTTATTCGATAAATTTGCCTATTAATGAGAAACAAGCGTAACTTTTTTTTATTTACCATTTCAACCTCAAAAACTGAGACAGGAAAGCTGGTAATAAAACCGGCTGAAGGTAGACTTAAATGCTGAATTAGACTAATCCGGCCAACAATTAAGGTTCGCGTTTGGAATTTTTCTTTTAAATCTCACCATGATGGGATGACACCAGGAAGTCCAACAAGAGGACTTCTCACCTTCCACCAGCGGCTGGATGGCCTCTCATCCTACACCGGTGGCGGCAGAGGCTGGTGACCGCTGAGAGGGCTTCCATGATCTCTGCACCTCGGCCATGGGTAGAGCGAGGAAGTGGGTCCGGCTCAACCCTACGGACAGGTTCCATGTCATAAAATGTGAAAATATAACCAACTGCTTTCATCACCGCGCGGAAAGAGTTCAGCTGGCACTTAGAAACTTCCTCAAAATGTTTTGAGAGTGGTGAGAATGAACATTAAGTTAAATTAGGCTGTCAAATACTACGTCTCATCCAACTTCGATTGAATAAACTTAAAAAAAAAATAATTCAAAACTCCTTCAAGAGCAGTAAAAATTCGTTTAACATTTTTGCGAGACATGAAATTATAAGTGCGATCGCAATTAGGCCAGCACCAAGAGTTGGCGAATCGCGCAGCAGGAACACGTTGGAGCCTTGGTCTGATCCAGTTCAATCCATCCAGGAATTATCATGGATGAGGGATTAATGCTTTGCTTCGACCACTGAACCATTCGCACGTCCTGCATCACTAGGTCTACCTAATTCAGGGACAGGAGAACAAGACAAGTTTTTTTTTTTTCACTTGCTGGAGTGACGCACCCAGACACTTGACCACCAGACCCAGCGGTCCTCTCACCATGGACGTCTAAGAAACATACTAACATCATTTTCCTATTGGATCATGTTATGGAAGCGCACTTCAATGCCCTGCATGCGAGTACATCCATGCTAGCCAACAGGTAAGCCCCATGGAGTGGAAAAACACTAGTCGAGCAGATTACGGCGCCGCCACTGCAATCGCAAGGTGAGAGTAGAGTACCCCAGTAAAAGAGAAGCGAGCGGGCTTATGTTGCACGGAAAGCGCATTTATCACTCTTACAGTATACGTACCTATGTAATTCAATACTATCAAGTTCCTTCAGGTTGATGGACTTCATGGACACCAGTGTTACTATACCTCGTTGCTTATAGCTACTGGATATTTTGTAAGATGTTCAATAAAAGTGCAAATTATCCTCGATGCATTTATTTTATGGACAACGTTGTGACATTTCAATTAGGTTACCCATCCAGCAACAAGAAATGATTTAAAGCAAAATCAAACAGGTCCCATCTTTCCCTTTATATAGTAAGCTGATCAGACGTCCTGGTTCGAATTTTCCTTTCCATTCTGATGCACTGGCTTTTCCACATTTAAAGGAATAACTTTTGAGCATATCCTCGAAAATGTCCCAGTTTTTCCAAGGGAAAAAACATCAACCCTGTACTGTATAATAGGGGCGAAGAACATGATTTTTTCGTTCCTGCTAGTGTGGCATACCCGATATTGAAGCGGTTTTCCAATTTGACAGCTAGGAAACTTGAATCGTTTTTTCATGAAAAATTTTTTTCAAAATCATAGGTGATTCTGCTACTCAGGGTGCTTCGCGTGCTGGCGCATCAACGCTGACGTCACATCGGTAGGCCTCATACAAATTTGAGGCATGTGAGACGGATGGCCTCGGGCGCTTGGAACATCGGCAACGCAGCTAAACCGAACTGGCAACGCGGCGGCTTCCTCCTCTACTGCCCTCGGCCCCAGTCGTCTATCTACTGCATCGCTCATGGAGAACGTAGCGCAGGGAGCATGCGCTCGAGAATCTCTTTAGATAAAGACAGGTCCCAAGTTTCCGTATGGTCTCTCGGGCAAAACGATTACATCGCGCGAAACGAGAATTGTGGAAATTTCCACTAATCTGAGGGCCTCAGTTGATTTAGTCAGCCTCTGTTAAACAAATCTCCCCGTAAGTAAAATGGAATGTGGATGGTAATCGGCGATGACCAGTTGCGACGTCATATAGCGGGGCTGGCTTTATATCACTAGTTTATCACCGGAGAATTTTGGGCGGGTACGACCCCTTCCCTATTTAATACATCGTCGCACAGCGCCCCGTCAGCAAGGTCCATGCGCCATGCCAGGAGAATCGATTCGCGATCCACGTTCTTAAGTCAGAGTATGGGGGAAATCACCTCACGAAACTTGGGAGGCAATTTAACTTGATTAAACTTACTTTGCTAAACCAAGCACTTCCGGTTTAGGCCGTGTTTCACACGGGTAAAACTGGAGAAGTGAGATCACGTGGAGACGTACGTACGTACCTCGTCTCGACTCAACCAGCGCTCTGGCAGCGCATGCAACGAGCAACGAAAGGCGCACAAGAGAAGAGAGAAAATACGCCGAGTGGCGGGTGCGCTCCAACATGAGGCCATTAGAGGCCTGCGCGGTGTGGTCTCCGGCGGGACGGACTGTACCGCTGCTCTACCTAATTCCTTTTTCAGTGGGAAGGGAGCGGAGGATAAGTATGGCTCGCTCCCTTGACTTCTTTTCGGGCTGTCTATTTAACAATTTCATCGATTGTAAGCCACTTATAAGTTAGCCCACGCTCATTCATTCTCAGCGGTTGTTGCTGTCATCGCGATGGGGCTGATGCTCTCCTATCCGCTGTCTGAATTCGGGGGAAAGGACTCACCCTTCGGACAAAACAACTCCCGGAAGCCGGCCATAGGGATCGAGGAAGGTAATTGTTTTGTTTGTTTTTTTTACGTTGCCCCTTTTACCCGCGCCTGAGACGTGTCTGCCTCACGTTTATAGTAGGAGCAAGCGGATCGTTTATATTATTATTATAAGGCGCCAACTTTTGGCATGACCTTGGTGTTTTGTGATCGATCTTGCCGTTTTCGAGATTCTGACTCAAGGTACTGACTAGTACTTGCTGCAGTACTTACATCACCGGAAGCACCTCAAGGAGTGCATACCAAGAACTTCAGGAATGCTCAGAAATTTGTGACCAGGAAAAACTCCGGAGGTGACAACGCGAAGTTCATTTCGTAACTGCTCAAGACGGCAAGAATTTCGACATCGTCTTCTTCCCATACGTCACGATCCACATATTCAATATGAAGTGCAACACTAGAGGTTTCGAAGTACAAGACTTTTGGATCCTTCGACGTAGCATATGAATGAAATTCATATTTCTCGTCACCTCTTCGTCATAACCGTATCCAATGGGAGTCAGCTTGTACATTTATGATTGAGTTTGTCGGACGCGCTAAGTTTATCTATAATGGCAGTTATTCTGGAAAGTTTGCTTGTAAAGTGAAGAATGTCGTTACTGGTTAGGCAAAAACAGTTACTTGGAGGGATCAAATGTGGCCAGTAAACTTACACTGCCATCGACGTAAAGCATTCTCAATACTCACGTTCGTCACGATGGAGTCACCGTATCCTCTCAAAGATTAACGCAATATCTAAACCGGAAAGTCTCCTAACATCACAAACAGGTCTGAGAGGCGAGACGGGAGCAGGCGATACCAGAGTCGGACCATTCCGAGACGAAAAACCGAGCGGTGGAGGCCTCGCAGGCTAACCGCCTCCATGCGCGTTGCTCATGCCGGGGAGTGTGACGAGGCTATCCGGAATGGCATGTGAGACTCCCTCTCCCCTCATTCGTTCTCTGCTGTGGTTGTGGTTATCTGCAAAAATGGGACAGGTGAACGTGCGTCACAGTTCGGTAGGGCGGGGAGAAATTTCGTAGTCAGCAGAAGCTGTTGCCAATAACTTACTTAAATTCAGATATCGTTGAACTGCTTTTCCCCTCTCCTGTGTTCAGCGCACTCAAGAAGATAACTGGTGCAAATCGTGCTGATGACTGAAAGCACCTCAGATTCAATATTCTGAAATCGAGCGATGAAACTCATCAGAAGTTACTCGATGGATTGCAAGAAAGTTGAAACTGATCTGACGATTCGAATAACGAAAAAAAAAATGCATGCAAGAAATCATTCATTGGGCCTCCAAGCTCATTTCACTCCCTCCTTAGATGAGAGTAGAAAGTGCAAGGAAAGAAG